GCTTACTCCTTGGAAGGAAAGTTATCACCAACCTAGATAGCATATTAAAAAGCAGAGACATTACTTTGCCAACAAAGGTCTGTCTGGTCACAGCTATGGTTTTTCCAGTGGTCACGTATGGATGTGAGAGTTGGACTGTGAGGAAAGCTGAGCGCCAAAAAATTGATGCTTTTGAACTGTGGTGTTGGGGAAGACTCTTGAGAGTCCCTTGGACTGCAAGGAGATCCAACCAGTCCATCCTAAAGGAGATCAGTCCTGGGTATTCATTGGAAGGACTGTTGCTGAAGGTGAAACTCCAATACTTTGGCCACCTCATGAGAAGAGCTGACTCCTTTGAAAAGACCCTGATGCTGGGAGGGATTGGGCGCAGGAGGAGAAGGGGATGACAGAGGATGAGATGGCTGAATGGCATCACCGACTCAATGGGCATGAGTTTGAGTAAATTCCGGGAGTTGGTGATGGACAGGTAGGCCTGGCATGCTGCAATTCATGGGGTCGCAAAGAGTTGGATACGACTGAGCAACTGAACTGAACTGAAAGTGACTTGGGATTATATTATACTAGAAAGGGTTCATCCTATCTTGTGGCAGCAGCTAACCCTCTGTGGAATTAAGTTCATTCAATACTGGCCTATAGTTTCATAAGACTTGGTCTACCTCTGGCTTCTCTCTTTCAATGGTAGAGTCCTCTAGAGAACTCAACTAAGAGCCTGGATGTTCTCTGAGGCCCCACCCTCCTTGACAGATCCCAAACTCCCAACTTTTATCACTCCCAGCACCATAGAAGTGCCAAAATTCTGCTCAGGTTTTCAGCTGTCTTTTGTTTCACTTCTCAGTCTCTTCCCTTCCACAGCTAAAAACAAGTAAGTGCCTTGTGGAGAGAAGCTCTGAGTGCTAAGGCTTACATTTTCTTTCCTCTCGGGTCTTGCTCCTTAAAGTCAAAGCTTCATTCTTCCAAATCTCAACAAATTTGCTGAAAGTTAACACAGTTTCTCTGTTTCTCAGTGGCTGCTCTTTGCCCATCTTCTCATATTCTAACCTCACACCAAGAATGAGTAAATACTCCAAGAGAAGCTTCAGTGCGTGTCCCCTCTCTACAGAATCTTATTTGCTTTGGCAGCTATATCATAGTGTCCAACAACAAACTTTTTGTGTATTTTACCTAGATTCTTTTGGAACTCTCAGCAGGACCATTGGTTTACTATTAGCAAAAGTGGGGCAGCAGCCTGAAAAGAGGTACTCCTTCTCTCCTCACAGTTCTCCCAAACACTGTTAAGTCATTTTCTTCTAAGAAATTTGGTATTATAATAATATTAAATCCAAATAGTGACCATGAGAGATAAATTACATAAATTACTGACTATATTTAGACAAGAGTGTTATAAATTTTGGAGGGAACTTTCCTGGTGGCTCAGATGGTAAAGAAACTGCAGACTTTAAAATTTAGTTTCTATGGTTACCTATTTTGTTTACATTAACTTATACTTGTTTTGGAACTCTTCTACAGAGTTCCTCTGTACTACTCAGAGATTATCAAAAATTCATTGCTACACTGTAGTATAACTGATCAGGTAGAAAGACGAACACATACCGTATTCTAGTATCTAATAATTCCTTAATCATTGCCACAACTTCATCATCATCTTCAGATCCTAGAAACAATTACAAATAAAACATATCAACAAAAGAAATTTTACATCCATGCAAGTACAAATATTAAAATAAAGTGATGTAACTTAATGTCTCATTAAAAAAATAAAAGCATAGAACATGTAACTTGGTATAGTGAAATAAGTAATATGGGGGAAATGGAAGGATCATTCATTTGATTCTCTGAAGAAAAACTAAGGCGCACTGATCAACATTTGGTGATAACTGTGAATGTACTGAAATAACATGATCTACTAATGGTGTTAGGGTTTTAATTTTTTGGCCAATACATTTGTAAACTTTCATCCTTCTCAAGGACTGAAAAGAAGCAAGGAAAAGACATTGTCTGGATCTTGATGAAAACTTTGAGACAAAAAGGCACTTTTTAAGTTTTTTTTAACTACTTTATAAGTTAAATTTTTAATCCCTCAATTTAGTGGTTTTCATGATGACAATCATACTAAGTACAGATATAAGCCTTATTGGAATTTTAAAATGTTCTACAAATCTGAACAAAAACCTGGTTTTTTCATTTTGTTTCATTTTTTTCTTTTTTAAAAAAATTCTTTAATTTTTTATTGTTAGCTACGCTGGGTCTTCACTGCTGCACGTGGGCTTTCTCTGGTTTCAGGGAGCAGGTGCTCCTATCCAGTTGTGCTGCCTGAGTTTCTCACTATGGTGGCTCCTCCCGTTGGGAGCACAGCCTTCAGCGTGCACGGGCGCGCAGCTGCGGTGCAGGGGCTCAGCTGCGCCGAGACATGGGGAATCTTCCCAGTCCAGCGAGCAAACCCACACCCCCTGCACCACTGGACCACCAGGAAAGTCCATTTTTGTTTTCCTTTTTACTTTGTAAGGTTACACATAGATCTTCACATATGTCTAGTTTTATGGGTTTTATATTTATTTGGAAAAAAATCTCTTTATCATTGGGAAAACTAAAAATGCAGCTAATTCAAATACCATTATGATAAACAATAGGATTCTGGCAACAATATAAACATGAACATATTAATATTAAATTATATCAACTTTGATTTTAATAAACAGAATATAATTAAGTTAAAATTCTCTTACATCAGCAAACCTAAGTGCCTTTTGCCATCATCACTTCTATAGGCAACCACTATCATTAGTTTAGTATATATCCCCCTTCTAGTACATGTTTACATTTACATGTCTATATTTACACTCACTATTAAATATCTTGCTTTTTTCTATTTAATATAGACCTAAAAGGTTTTTCCATATCAGCATATAAAGATGTGGCTCAATTTTCAAATAAGTGCAAAATAACTTTTGTATGAATTTGTCTTCATTTGGCTAGTTTTTAAATCATTTGTTTCCTGTTTGCTGCTACTTCTAACAATCCTGCTGCTATTTCTAACAATCCTATGTGTTCATGTAAAGTATTCCTCAGTGTACTTTTGCAAATATATCTATGAGGTAAATTTCTAGTGCTGGATCAACAGCTTTGTGTATTTTTACATTTTGGCAGAGGTAGTTAAAGCCTCTAAAAATGATGTATCAGTTTTACATATATATCTATCAAGAACACATATAACTATTCCATGTATTATTTAAAATTTGCATAAATGGTACATTTGTAAGAATATGTAAATACACCCTTCAGTTTCCTTTTACCACTTAATATTTTTTATATCTTCTCACATCAGTATCTCCTAATCAAGCTCACTCCTTTTAACTGCTAATATATTTTTTAAATATTTCAATGAACATGTTGAAATATGTTTGAAATATGTTGGAATATGCTTCCACATGTTGTCTTGTGTACATTTATCAGACTCATTTAGAGTATATATCTAGAAGTTAAACTGTATCATTTAAAGGTGATTATACAAATGTTTGTGTGTGTGTGTGTAGACATGTGCACACGTGCATGCTTAGTCACTCAGTTGTGTCCGACTCTTTGCAGCCCCATGGATTGCAACCTGCCTGGCTCCTCTGTCCATGGGATTCTCCAGGCAAGTAAACTGCAGTAGTTATATCTTTAATAGTTTGTTTAGAAATGATTCTAAAGTAATTAAGGCAGAAAGTTAACTCCTGTTAAATCTGAGAGAAGGGAAAACTGGTGAGTATTATATTATTTTGAAAACAATATAAATATTATATTATACTATACTATATTATAAATATCATAATTTAATAAATAAGTTTGAAATTTTTATAGTTGAAATTTTTAATTTTTTATAATATATTCCATGTAAACACACGTTTCATAAAATGATGGGTAAAACTAGTATACATGAGGTTTTATCCCCTCTGGAATTGGTTCCAGAGCTAAATATAGAATAGTAACAAAACTCTGTTACCCATGCTTTCAGAAATCAAGAAAAACGTGAAGAAACTAGAACAATTTTTTTAAAAAGCTAAATATTAATTCCCAACACATTACCTGCTTCCCCTGAAGGTGTTTCCTCAGTAACTAAAGGTAAGCCAGATGCAAAGAAATCCATAATAGTAGCATAGATATCTGGTTTCAGTAAATTCCAGTCTAATTCTTCATTCTCCTGTAAATATTTGAAGGAAAACATTACATTTTCATCCAAGAGCAAAGACAAATACAAAACAAGACTCTGAATCTTTTAGGACTCTTCCCCTATTTATATTCTATAACATGCAATAGCGCACATTTCTGGACAATATGTCAGTTATTGTTGAGGAGCTTGCTTATAATGACTTTTAGGAGATACAATCTTAGAACATATCCCCATTCAATCATTCATCAAATCTGTATTAAGTGTGGTGTGTGTACATGCCCCATAGAGAGGATATCAAAATGATTAAATGATAACTTTTTCATAAGGTAAAAAGAGTTGGATTCTCTGTTTACAGTGGATAATAAACAGATTTTCCATTCTTTTAATAAAATAGGATATAACTGCTTGATGAACTATATAGGATATCCTATGACTATTAAAAAAATTCAACCTATGTATATTACTTAAGAGCATTGAAGACATAACTTTTGAACCCAAACTATAACATGTCTCATCTATGGCTGTGCTAGAGGACTTGTGGACTGTCAACAAGACTGGTATCCTTAAGAAACAATCCATAGCCTTCCTTGGTGCGCAGTGGATAGAAATCTGCCTGCCAGTGCAGGGGACATTGGTTCGACCCTGGTCCAGGAAGATTCCATATGCCTTGCAGCAACTAAACCCATGGGCCACAAACTACTGAGCCTGTGCTCTAGAGTCCACAAGCTGTAACTACTGAACTCAGGTACTGCAACTACTGAAGCCCACACACCACAAGGAAGAGTGGCTGCTGCTTGCTACAACTAGAGAAAGCCCACACAAACCAACGAAGACTGAGTACAGTAAAAAACAAAAATAAGTAAATCAGTAAGAGTAATCCTTCCAAACTGCTTAAGAGGAGTTCATTGAATACTTTTGATTTTGATGCAAAACTGGACAAGAGATTAAGTTCAGCATGTATATATCAATTATAGATTTAAAAGAATATGCAGTTTAAATTTAAGTAATTCATTTCTCATTAATCTAGTACACTTAAAAACAAAAGTTTTTTGTAGCAAATATGATCTCAGATGTTGGATGGGTATAGCATATTTAGCTTGAGTTTTTGACATTAAGAGGTTATCCAAGTGTTGCAGAAGTTCACAACCCACTGCTCTCATCTGTGAAGCTCTAAAGTGTCACTGTGGGATGGCAGGCTGACACAAAAATGTGCCAGGTGCCATTTCATAAATGCTCACTGTGAGAGAAGACAAATATTCGATCATCCTGTTGGTCATATGTATATATATTTGATATATATATTTGATCATTTACTAGCTTCTCTTTGTACTCTATCAATGTAAGCTAAGAATTAGTAAAAACAATACTTGGAAGCCTAAATTTTAGTCCTGCCAAGGTTGAGTCTTGCATACTGCATTTAACTCTCTGAAGCTTATGTTTTTCTTTCTTGAAAAACAAGGGATCTGAAAGTTAATTTCAACTTGAGAATTCTATTAAATAATTACCTTGAGAAATATGAGAAGTAAACTTGAGATTTTTAATAACAGTATGTGTAAAACACATTAAACATGGATATTCTGGAGAGCAGCATTGGACTCAGAAAAAACCAAAAGTACATCACATCTTGTTTTATATAATTCTATGCTTACCTTTGTGACAGTGATGAAATCTGGTCCAAAAAAGACACTTTTTACTCCCTCAATCCTAAATAACTGCCTGCGAAAAAATAAAAATTGAGAGATAATAACTTAGTCGTGTCTGATACTTTTGCAACCCCAAGGACTGACTGTAGCACTCCAGGTTCCTCTGTCCATGGGCTTTCCCAGGCAAGAATACTGGAGTGGCTTGTCATTTCCTTCTCCAGGGGATCTTCCCAACCCAAGAATTTAACCCATTCTCCCACACTGCAGGTGGATTCTTCACCACTGAACCACAGGGGAAGCCCGAGGCAATGACAAAACAGACTGGGAATAACCATACAGTGTATCAGATCTTCCCAATGTCTCAGCAGTCAAGAATCCACTTGCAATGCAAGGGATGCAGGAGACGTGGGGAAATCCCCTGGAGGAGAAAATGGCTCTCCAATATTCTTGCCTGGGAAATTCCATGGACAGCATGGCCCAGGGTTATAGTCCAAAGGGCCACAAAGAGCAGACAGGATTGGGTAACTGAGCACGCACATACTTTGTATCAACAGTATTACTTGGCAGTAAGGAGAAATGAACTACAGATACCTACAAGAACAAGGATGACTCTCAAAATCATCATACTAAATGAAAGAGGCCGAACAGAAAAGACTGTATGGTTCCATTTATTTATATGAAACTCTAGAAAAGGCAAAACGGTAGTAGATGGTTAGGTAGCATCACCAATTCAATGGACATGAACATGGGCAAACTTCAGGAGATAAGTGAGGAACAGGGAGGCCTGGTATGCTACAGTCCATGAGGTTGCTACGAGTTGGAGAGAAGTTAGCAATTGAACAACAGGGTAAAAAGATCAACAGTTACCAGGGTGAGAGATGTATTAACTATCCTTTCTGTGGTAATCATTTCACAATGTGTATCTGTATCAAATCATCACACTGTATATCTTAAACTTATACAATGTTTTATGACAATTACATCTCACAGAAGCTAGAAAAAACATTGTTATTGGATTAACTGATCATTTTTTATTTGGTTTTATCTTTTTTAATTGGATAATTGTTTCACAAAGTTGTAGTTTCTGCTATACAACAGTATGAATCAGTTTTAAGTATACATATATCCCCTCCCTTCTAGAAAACGCATTTTTTAATAAAATTTTAAAAATTAAGTCATTGCCATAAAAAAAAAAAAAAAAGTTACCAGGGAGGTGAAGCAAGAGGAGACTGAAAACAAAGGGAAATGAAGGATCTTTTGCTGTGATAAAAATGTTTTATATTTGTATTTTTTTGGTGGATACACAATTGTATATACTTATCAAAACTCAATGAATTGTACACTTGAAATTGGTGAATTTTATTGTGCATAACTTATACTTCAGTAAAGCTAATTTTTGAGAGAAAGAGGGGCAGATTATAATTTGAAAAACCCTTCAAAGGATTTTGAAATACGGCCCCCCTCCCCAAACACTGATACATGTACCACACCTAGCAGACACTAGAGCAGTATCCTTTTCCCCCAACTTTAGGAATAAAAGCTGACATACTCCAAGGAAGGCCACAGTTCTCCTTTCCTTTGTCTATCATTGCAAGAATGTTATCAAAATTACTGCTTTGAAATTGTTTAGGAATTTTTCTGAGACAATGTCAGCTGGGTCCTTTACACAACCACTTAATGTTAAATCTGCAAGTCGTCACAAAGTTTTTGGTTGCAGCTTATGATCCAATAAATCAAAACACAGACCTCTAAGTAGGACCCTAGACTAGCACTATTAGCAAAGCTTTTTTTTTCCCCCAAATGAAAGCATGCTGCTAACCAAGCCTAAATGAAAGACGACATCTGATCTATGTCAAGGGATGCAAGGGTAAAGAATCAGTTTGCCAATACAGGAAATGCAAGAGGTGGGCGTTCAGTTCCTGGGTTGGGAAGATCCCCTAGAGTAGGAAATGGCAACTCGCTCCAGTATTCTTCCCTAGAGAAGAATGGGTCATATCATGGAGACTGCTTGGAGGAAAGAGTTTAGAAGTTCTGTCCCCCCACCCCGAAAAAAAAAGAAGTTCTGTCCCTAAAAGAAAGAAAAAGCTGAAACAGGAGTTTCAGGCATTATTATAATGCTTTGTCATTTAGGTTATTTTCCTTGGGACAATTTCAATTCATCAATGTCCAAAACAAAATACGATACCTAAGATTTCCCTTGTGGCTCAGCTGGTAAAGAATCTGCCTGCAACTGGGGAGACCTGTGTTCGATCTCTGGGTTGGGAAGATCCCCTGGAGAAGGAAAAGTATTCTCCAGCATTCTGGCCTGGAGAATTCCATGGATGTCCATGGGGTTGCAAGCAGTCAGACACGACTGAGCGACTTTCACTCACAAACATATGAGAAGTTGTCCAACCTTGTGCGTAATTAGGAAAATATTTTAAAAATTAAAAAAAAAAATACAATACCTAGAGCTGAACATACTCTCCCAAAGGTAGTCTAACTTGTTCTGAATACAAAAACTATTACCTCTCTTATGCTGGACACTAGGACTCTGTTAAAGTTTGACTGACTTTTTAAAGCATATTTCTAATGTAATTGAGAGGTCAGATTCTTCTATCCCATAACTGTGCTAGGCATTTAAAAAATTTAAGCACACAGCTTAATATTTATTCTTGCTAGATTTTATCTTATTTGCTTTAACCTATCATTCCAGCCTAATGAAACTTTTTAAAATGTCTCTGAATTTTGTCATCCAACAGGTAAGCAAATCCTATCATCTGAAAAACTGGTAATTACACCTTATTAATGTTGCTGGTTTTAAAAATGTCCTGAATAAACATGCCAACTACAGAGATTCAGAGCCCTTTCACATGTCCTTAGAGGTAGGTCTACCCTCTGCTTGTATTTCTTCATCTTCTCTACAAGGATAGGAAAAAACAAGTCATATGCCTCCCTGAAGTCAGACATATTACTGTTTACTCATGCAATCAACTAATATTTGAATACAGAGTAACAGACACTATTCTAAGCATTAGAGACACAATGACCAGTAAGACAGACTGGCTTCCGTCCTCATGTTTACAGCAAAAATATTCTCTGCTAAACAAAAATAAGATTGACTGAAGATAACAAATTCTGTAAACTCAAGAAATGGGTGACTTCCAAAAGATTAATTTGAAAAGGGTTTTGGCCAATTGAACATCTGACAGAAATCATCTCCAACCAATCTATAACTGAATCAATTTGGGCTTTTTTATTTTTACATTTTTAAAAATACTAAATATGTGAGCTCATGTTTGATGTACACATTTCAAACTATTGCCGGGAGTTGGTGATGGGCAGGGAGGCCTGGTGTGCTGCAGTTCAAGAGGTCGCAAAGAGTTGGACACAACTGAGAGACTGAACTGAACTGAATAGCTCAGCTGGTAAAGAATCACCTGCAATGCAGGAAACACTGGTTCAATTCCTGGGGCGGGAAGATTCCCTGGAGAAGGAAACGGCTACTCACTCCAGTATTCTGGCCTGGAGAACTCTCTGTTATCAGTTTGATATACATTCTTCCATACCTTTTTGGTCAGTGCATTTTTGTATTTTGTTTTCATACACATAATAACACATAATGTATTCACTGTTTTGCAACTTGCTTTCTTCACTAACAATATGTCTTAGATGTCACTCTATAACAGTAAATATGGTTCCTCCTCATCCTTTTCAATATCTCTGGGCTATGGATGGGCAAAGTTTATCTAACTATCCATACTGATGAATATTTAGATTGTTTCTAACTTACTACCATTATCAACAAGGCTACAATGAATACCACTGCACACACCTTAGGTATATACGTGGTAATTCTTTCAAGTAGTGTTTTTCAAACCCACCAGTAAGTTGTAAAATGAATTATGTAGTAACCAAGATTTTATTCAATAAAATAAAACAGAACAAAGTAATATAAAAAGCATAATAAAGGAAATATAACCAAGTTTCATACCTTATAAAGGCAAAAATTGCCTCATCAAACACTTGTTTCATATATATATATACACACACACATATGTATGTGATTCATATATATACACACATATGTATACACAGATATAGGTATATCTTTGTATGTATATGTGTATGTGTGTACATGTATAGTGCATCATAATATATTTCTTACTGTGGCTTGTATTTAAAAGCACAAAAAACAAATGCTCTAAGATATCTTCCAAGAAGTGGCACTTTTAAGTCAAAGGAAATTTGCACATTGATTAACTAGAAACTTTAAAAACCATTCTTGAGATAAGCATATTTCTGGCTCCCCTAAATGAGACACATAAAATGGCTGTGTGTACACAGAAACAGTTATCTAAGTTTTATTTTCTCAATATCCTTGGCAATCAGTATCAGACTTAGGTCACCAAAAATTTCAATTGATGTGACTGACTTTAACATTTTTTATTTTAAATGATTTCTCTAGCTATCAGTTTAAAAGGGGTTTTATAATTTTATCCTTTGTGGCTTATCATCTGACATACATTTAATATGTCTTTATCTAGTGAATTTAAAAATTGTCACCACTGAATGTAAATTGGTACAGCCAGTATGGAAAATAGTAAGGCAGTTCCTTAGAGAAATAAAAATAAGAGCTGCCATATGATTCAACAATCCCACTCCTGGGTATATATCCAGAAAAAATGAAAATTCTAATTCCAAAAGATACATGCACCCCAGGATTCAGAGCAGCACTATTTACAATAGTCAAGACATGGAAACAACCCAAGTGGCCATCAGCAGATAACTGGCTTAAGAAGATGTGGCACAATGAAATATTACTCAATGATAAAAAAGAATGAAATAATGCCACTTACAGCAATATGGATGGACCGAAAGAATATTATCGGAGAAGGCAATGGCACCCCACTCCAGTACTCTTGCCTGGAAACTCCCATGGACGGAGGAGCCTGGTAGGCTGCAGTCCATGGGGTCGCACAGAGTCAGACATCACTGAGCGACTTCATTTTCACTTTTCACTTTCATGCATTGGAGAAGGAAATGGCAACCCACTCCAGTGTTCTTGCCTGGAGAATCCCAGGGACAGCGGAGCCTGGTGGGCTGCCGTCTATGGGGTCGCACAGAGTCGGACACGACTGAAGCGACTTAGCAGCAGCAGCAGAGAGTATTATGCTTAGTGAAGTAAGTCAGAAGAAGACAAATACTGCATGATATCACTTAAATGTGGAATCTCAAAAATAATGCAAATGAATCTATACACAAACCAGAAGCAGATTCAAAGACATAGAAAACAAACTTATGGTTATAAAAGGGGAAAGGAAGACAGCGACAAATGAGAAGGATGGGATTAACGATAAAGACTACTACACATAAAACAGATAAGCAACAGGTGCATACTATGTAGCACAGGGAACTACATACAGTATCTTTTAATAACCTATCATAGAATATAATCTGAAAAGAAAAATAAAAAACTCACTTTGCTATCCACCTGAAACTAACACAGTATTGTAAATGAACTATACTTCAATAAAAATGAATAAAAACTGTCACCACTCAATAGTTTATTAAAAATTCATGCCACATCTAATAATTATTATCATTTATAATTGAGAGGAATATTTTAGAAACTACTCCATTTTGAAGCATCTAGAAATTCAGCTATCCTTGAGAATAAAATGAGCACATTTTTATGTTTTTTTTTAAAAAACAACATTTTAAAGATTTAGAAAGGATATCTGCCATATTATCATTTTGATAGATTTTTTAGAAGTAAAAATATAAATTCTATTTAGTCATGCTACAGATCTCTTAAGTACATCACTTTTCAAGAGAAGGGTTTCTTAATATCAAATCTTGTTTTTCTTTATTGTTTACCTGAAAAGAAAACAATCTTTATACTGAAGAGATGCAATGCACATAAAAGTGCAATAGCTAAGGCGACCTTAACCCCTGAAGTCAGTTATTTATGTCTCTCGGTAAAAGCAAATAAAAAATACTACTATACCTAGCCAGAGGGGAGCGAAATGCCGTAGCTGGTGTGGGAAAATCCATGGTTCTTGTCTCAAGAACTGGTTTTCCTGGAATAAACTTTAAACTGTTGGGATTCGGGGTATCTTGTGTTTGAATAAACATGTATCTCACTAAAAGAGAAAAAGAAAAAGGAATGTTATTCTAGGAAAAAATATTAGTTAACAAGTTTATGGACTATGAAGTGTTCATTTTCAGAGAACCAAAATATATAAGAAAAATTAGAAAACAAAAAAATAAAGCTTTCTTGCTCAAGCTTACAAAAGAAGAATTACTAGAGATAAACAAATTTATCAAAATATTTAGGATAATTACATTGAATTTTATGTTGATTATTTAGATAGTTTTGTTACTCAACAGACTCTAGCAAAATCGTATACCTAAGTAGGAAAGCATATCATAATTCAGGAATCTGATGTATTCTCTTTGGTAACTCAATACCAAATTGGCTATAATTACAAATCATCATCACTTCCCAAAGTGCTAACATTTTTAAAAAACAAATAAATTTATAATAACATTTATTTTATGTTTACTCATTACATGTCAGAGACAGGGTTGAGTGCTTTAAATATATTTAAGCCTTTAACAATCCGATGAAGAAGGAATTATTGTTCCTACTTTACAAAAAAAGAAACTGAGACTCAGAGATTACTTGTTAAGTTACTAAAAGTTAAATAACTTATCCAAAGGTATAGTGACATTATAAATCATCATATAAGTGAGACTCCACATGAATTACTTTTCAGGATATTTTAAAATTATCTTCAGAAATTCTTTGTTTCTTCTCAGGCCATGATTAGATTGAGAACAACAGAATCCTGAATTTCTTACCTTGCTATTATGGTTACAGCTTGCAGGACAAAAAGATAATACTGAGGTCTTAAGAGTTTAAAACTATTAAACAGGTCCTGGTTATTTATGATGAAAATAAACCTTCTTTAAAAAAAAACCCACCCAATTCTCATCTTAGAGAGGTACATGGAACTAGGTTAATTTATTGAGTAATTATCATGTGTTGCATATTGAGCTAAGCACTTTATGTGAATTATATCATTTAATCCTTACATCCTGCCAAGGAAGCACTGTTTTTATCCTAACTTATAAATGACTAAACTAAACCTCAAAGTCACTCACCTAGTTAAGTGACAGAGCCTGGATTAAAGCCTGGCCAATTCTGCAGCACTTGTTTAACCACTGTGCACAGTGCTACTTCATACTTATTAGTGCCAACCATAAAAGAAAAATATATTTAAGATCAGTCTTTCTGTCATAATCCTCACATCACATATCTTAGGAAAGAGTAAAATATCACAAAGTAACAGTTTTATTTTAAATTAGAAAATGATTAAATTTGGCAAAACATATGGTTGGTATAAAAATACTTCTCTTAACTATTACAAAAGAACATTCTAATTTGACAGCTGAGATGGTTTCTGCACCTCTTCAGACAATTCCAGCTAACTGATGATGAGTCATTTCCTTGGTAAAGTAGAATAAAATTCCCATACATTTTGCTTAAGTCACTGTCTTGTAAAGATATTGGTTGGTGACTTGGTGACCAGGCAAATTCTATAAAGGAGAAAAATTTTAAATGATAACCTCAACACTGAAGTATCGGGTTGGTCTGAAAGTTCCTTTAGTTTTAAAATAAAAAACTTTAAAGTTGTAACAGTTTCTGCTTGGTCATCAAAGAAACATGTGGTCTTGTGTTATCCTGATGGAAGATTATACATTTTCTGTTGACTAATTCCAGGCACTTTTCCTTCACTGCTCCTTTCAGTTGGTCTAATTAGGAGAAGTACTTGTTGGAATTGTTTGGTTTTCCAGAAAGAGCTCATAATAGATGACTCCCTTCCGATCCCACCTTTGGATAAAGACCGGCCTTTGGTGTGTTGGTGGTGGTTTATTTAGCTTACCCCACAGTTTCTTCTGTTCCACATTACTGAATGGTACCCACTTTTCATCGCCTGTCCAATTTGTTTTAAAAATGGAACATCTGCATTATGTTTAAGTAGAGAACTGCATGCCAAAATACAGCCAAGAAGGGTTTTTTTGCTTAACTTATGTTGAACCCAAATATCAAAGTGAGTAACATAACCAACCTGGTGCTCAACCTGATGTTCAATTCTTGATTTGCATATATTGAGGGTGTCGGCTATCTCCAACATGGTATAACACTGACTGTTCTCAATTAATGTCTCTATTTGATTGCTACCAACTTCAACTGGTCTATCCAACCATGGAGCATCATCCAGTGAGAAATCCTCAGCGTGAAACTTCGCAAACCACTTGGACATATTTAATCAATCATACTACCTTCTCCATACACTACGTAAATCTTTTTTTGCACTTCAGCTTCATTTTAACCTTTCTTGAAATAATAAAGTATAATATGCTGAAAATGTTCCTTTTTTCCTCCGTCTTCAATATTACAATAACTATAAAAAGTTCTTCAAATTCAATAAGCTTTTTTAAAAATGCATGTTGATATGGCAGCTGTAGAATACAATCTAACAAAATTGTTTTGAATGAAGTTAAAGACAACAATTGGAGAAGGAAATGGCATTCTTGCCTGGGAAATCATAGGGCCAGAGGAGGCTGGGGGCTACAGTAAATGGGGTCACAAAGACTCGGACTTGGCTGAGCGACTGACACACTAACAAAGACAACTAAGCGCTGTTAAAGCCGTCTTATGGAAAACAAACAAATATTTTGGCCAACCTAACACTTGATTTTAAATATTTATACTTCCAAGCAATAAATTCCTCTGACAAGGGAACAATTTTTCAGACGGAACATGATAGAAAAAGCTGCCTCCACTTCCTCTAAATACACAGAAAATAAGGTTCTTTTAAACCTGTTTCTGATCAATCATTCCTGGGGCCTTTCTTAATAATTTATTGGTAGCCAAAATCTCTGCACGTATCAGGCACTCTGCCAATATTCAAAGAATTAAATCTGGCTTTATTCTGCTTACTCCATTTGTGTGTAAAACTATACACACAGAAAGAAAAAACTTTAGAAATACCTGAAGAACTATAAATGTAAAAAATATTTTAAAAGTATAATGTAAATATGTCTGAAGTAGACAATATGACCTTATATGATATCACTACATAAATTTTAACAATGAACAAAGGTACTTCAAAAAGAGCAATCTGACTAGGCGTTAACAAAATCACTTCAGTTACAGTCTAAATTACACTTAATTAGGTATTTCAAAAATGACTCTCAGCTCCATCATCCAGAAAGATCCCCTGAAAGTGTCATAAGGGTTACAACAAGAGAGAAAGACTGCTGTAAAATCTTTCCTATTATGCTTGGTATAATAGGTAACAGATAAAAAGGTAGACATAATCTCCCCCCAAAATACAGATTAATGGTTCCTGAAGTCAATATCAAAGACTAAAATAAGTAGGTTTCCAATTTGAAAGCCTAGATGACTACATAATTCAGTCCCACAAAATTTAAGTCTAATTAAAGTAGCTTAAGGTGAATTACTATTTATGCCCAAATTGCTCTGTGGTTCAAGGAAACAGTCAAGGAAGGCAAACCTATTTTTGCCCCAGGACACAGGGGAGGTAAGGTTTCTGCCCTGATCAAACTCATGCCATAAGATAGAGTCAGCCACCCTCCAGATAATAGCCATAAGGAGTTCAAGGCAGCAATGGAAATGGAGATGGGCCAAGAGCTGAATCCAAACTCTTACAGCTCCATAAGCACATTTAGGTAGGCACTCACAGACAGACACACACACACACCCTTGCTCCAAGGTTCCCTAACCACATGACCGTGGTCACATTGCAAAATGTTCAAATCCTATCTTCATACCCATTTGTAACTTCTTTTTATATCTCCATTTCAGAAATTACTTATTGAGCAACTCCTATGTTCCAGAACATGTGTTACACAACGTGCTAAGATTTCACAGATTTACTGGACACCATACTTGGGATTCTTGAAATTTAAGGCCAAATGGTATGTGTAAGCAAATAAAGTGTGATTTATGATAGAAAAAATGCTATATTCTTCTCATAAGCATCTGAATAGAAAATTTACAAATTCTCATTGTTTATGACCTACAAAATTTCATTCCGGCAGTTTGCTCTAAAAGAGATGAAATTTTACCTGTGTTACATAAGGTTGCAGGGAGTAGGAAAAGCGGTCTTTGGACAAACTGATGCAGAAGCTGTTTCTTAATTGTATATGGATTCGTCACATGACAGAATCTATATTTAAAAACAAAAATGAGACTTCAGGAGATAAGCTCAAGTTTCTACTTCTCATATATTAAAAAAACCCATAATGAAACAATAACCAAGGTGAATTTTCATTTTCCATCATTATTTCCACTCCCTTAGGCAAGCAATATCTACAAAACAATTTAAAAACAAGAGCTCAAGGGGAAATGTACAGCCTTGAAAACTGAGTGTATACAGAATACTGTAATATTTGGTGTAAAGAAACAGAAATGCATCTACACTGTGATTTAAAATCTGGAGTTCAAGACTATTAGCTATGCATGAAGGCGAAGCTACTAACTTTTCCCCTTTTCAGATACAAAAACAACTAGGTAATAGAGTCATGTGGTTCAAAATTCAAAGGGAATAAAAGTAAATACAATGAAAACTCTCCCTCTTTTTCAGTCTTTACCACTATGTTTCCCTGGAAAGAGATAACCTCTGCTATTTGTTCTGAAATGCATTTCAAATGCCTCCAAAAGTCTAACAGAAAGTATACTATTCTCCACCAAACTGCTAAAGAAGTCCACAGCCTATGTGCTTTTTGATTGGAAACATATTGACCCTGTTTTGTATTTCACCCTGAATATAATCAGAATTTTCTAACCCAGAGTTAGAAAATTTCCCAAGTGTTGACTGGCTATTCTTTTCATGGATTTGACAACTTAAAAACAAAAGGAGAAGGGAAAAACAAATAGTACTGGAAAAGGAAACAAAGAGAGACATTTGTTGTGAAAATTTTAGAATCTGAGGTAATTACTTTAAAATCCAGTTTACTTTAAATATTAATACACCCATCCATTCCAATTTTTACTTCACTTAGGAATTTTAAGCATATTTATGATCATTTTTTGTTTTTACATGTCTGATTCTTTTCACCTGCAAAAAGGAGGAGCTGTCTTCATTTCTGTCCCTAGCCACTAGCCTGATGACTTACTCCGTTCCTCATTTCTAAGATGAAGTTAATACTCACAACTACCTCATAAAGATTAAGGCAAAGATGGATCCTGATAATCGATGTAAAGTGATTAAAACAGTGCTAGACCATGTAGTACAATTGTTTATTAAACGGAATTCAGGTTTGGGGTGAAGACATTTTTATCTATAGCACACTCCCTAAATCTTGGATCCTTGGACTATGGAAGGACATCGAGAGCGGAAAAGGCAGAAAGGACAAATAATCTGACACGAAATAAGTTTAGAGCAATAAAATAGTAAAGGTGAGTTAAATTATTCCACGAGTAAGAGGGGGAGACAAGAGGTGACTAACAAAAAATCCTGCAAAGCTAATTTTTTAGGAAATGCATTTCAACTTTAAGAGCATCATTAGCACTAAAATCCCTAACATTGAGGAGGTCAACCTTTGTTAGGCCCTTTGATCCTTTTGTTCCATTCGAGAAATCAGGGTACAACAGCTACTTATGCCCTCGATGCCATTCGCCTAATCCATGCTGACAGATGTCAAAGACAGTGCAAACAGAAAGAGGAAAGACAAGGAAACCTAGAGGGTTTAGTCGGTAGGAGTGGGCGGGGTAAATCTAGGGTTCTGGATGCACTTGAGTTCATCACTTAGATGCTGTGTGACCTCAGATAGGTCACGTTCCCTTTCCGGGCTACACTGAGAAAATGATGACATTTTGTCTGACATTCTGATTTTGTGTTTAAAAGGCAGAGGAAATGCACGTAGTAGAGGAGACGGAGGGGCCACGATTTAAAAAAGAGCTCCTCGGTGGGGTCCCTACAGTCGGTCTCTGCGAGTCTCCCCACCGCAGGGATTCAGGCACCGGGTCCCGGAGCCTGGGACCAGGATCGGCACGGTCCGCCAGAACCTGGGTCGCAGAGCTGCCTCACCGAGAGCTGCCCGCCTCTGGATTCAAGTCTAATTCGGCGATGGGAGTGAACCTCAAAGCAAGGTCAGGGGCACTTCTCCCCATTCAGTTTAACAGGGGGCGGACGGGACGACCACCGCTCAGATGGATAAGCCCAGCGGCACCCCTATGCAGTTCCGCGATCACCACCTACCGCCTCCTCAGCCCCGCGGCAGCGGCAGCAGCTCCCCAGCCCAAGCGGACCGCCGCCGCCATCTTAGTCCGAGTGCGCAGGCGTAGGACGATCGCTCGCCCACCCCCGCCTCCCCCTGCCTTCGAAGACTTGCCGAAGCCCCGCGCAGGCGTGAGCGCAGGCGCAGGTCAATTTAGATCCGGCAAGGCACCGGGAATAGCGCACCCTACTGGCCGCTCGCGGCGCTGCTGCGAACTGGCCTGGCAGGCCTGAGTCTGGCTATTTGAAACCCTTCAGTTCAGTTCAGTTCAGTTCAGTTCAGCCTCTCAATCGTGTCCAACTCTTCGCGACCCCATCGACTGCAGCACGCCAGGCTTCCATGTCCATCACCAACTCCCAGAGCTTGCTCAAACTCATGTCCATGGAGTCGGTGATGCCATCCGACCATCTCCTCCTCTGTCAACCAGGTCTCCTGCCTTCAATCTTTCCCAGCATCGGGGTCCTTTCCAATGAGTCAGTTCTTTGCATCAGGTGGCCAAAGTATTGGAGTTTCAGCTTCATCATCAGTCCTTCCAATTAATATTCAAGACTGATTTCCTTTAGGTTGACTGATTTGATCTCCTTGCAGTCCAAGGGACTCTCAAGAGTCTTCTCCAACACCAGTTCAAAAGCATAAATTCTTCCACACTCAACTTTCTTTATGGTCCAACTCACATCCATACACAACTACTGAAAAATCCATAGCTTCGACTAGACAGACGGACCTCTGCCGGCAATGTCTCTGCTTTTAATATACTGTCTAGGTTGGTCATCATGAGAAACGCTGGGCTGGATGAAGCACAAGCTGCAATCAAGATTGCTGGGAGAAATAGCAATAACCTCAGATATGCAGATGACACCATCCTTATGTCAGAAAGTGAAGAACTAAAGAGCCTCTTGATGAAAGTGAAAGAGAAGAGTGAAAAAGTTGGCTTAAAACTCAACATTTAGAAAACGAAGATTATGGAATCTACTCCCATCACTTCATGGCAAATAGATGGGGAAACAGTGGAAACAGTGACAGACTTTATTTGGGGGGGGGGGCTCCCAAATCACTGCAGATGGTAACGCAGCCATGAAATTAAAAGACGCTTGCTGTGCTCGCTTGGGCAGCACATATACTAAAATTGGAACGATACAGAAAAGATTAGCATGGCCCATGCGCAAGGATGACACGCAAATTCGTGAAGCGTTCCATATTTTTTCAATGTATGACAAAAACCACTGCAATGATGTAAAGTAATTAGCCTCCAACTAATAAAAATAAATGGAAAAAAAAAAAAATAAAAGACGCTTGCTCCTTGGAAGAAAAGTTATGACCAATCTAGACAGCATATTAAAAAGCAGAGACATTACTTTGCCGACAAAGGCCCATCTAGTCAAAGCTATGGTTTTCCCAGTAGTCATGTATGAATGTGAGAGCTGGGCTATAAAGAAAGCTGAGCACAGAAGAATTGATGCTTTTGAACTGTGGTGTTGGAGAAGACTCTTGAGAGTCCCTTGGACTGCAAGGAGATCCCACCAGCCCATCCTAAAGGAAATCAGTCCTGAATATTCATTGGAAGAATTGATGCTGAAGCTGAAACTCCAATACTTTGGCCACCTGATGTGAAGAACTGACTCACTGGAAAAGATTTTGAAGCTGGGAAAGATTGAAGGCAGGAGGAGAAGGGGATGACAGAGGATGAGATGGCTGGATGGCATCACCAACTCAATGGACATGAGTTTGAGTAAGCTCTGGGAGTTGCTAATGGACAGGGAGGCCTGGCATGCTGCAGTCCATGGGGTCGCAAAGAGCCGGACATGACTGAGCAACTGAACTGAACTGAACTGAGGTTGGTCATAGCTTTTCTTCCAAGGAGCAAGTGTCTTTTAGTTTCATGACTGCATTCACCACCATCTGCAGTGATTTTGGAGCCCAAGAAAATAAAATCTATCTTTGTTTCCATTGTTTCCCCATCTATTTGCCATAAAGTGATGAGGCTGGATGCCATGATCTTTGTTTTTTTTGAATGAATTTGAAACCATTACCTAACTGCTTCATAAGGTTGGGCAACGCGGGGGCTGGGGGGCAGGTAGAAATTCTTGCGATGCCTGTGCAGGTGTCAAGTAAGCATGAGAGACTCCGCACGCATACGCAGAACGGTACATTGCTTTTCCCACTTGATGCATGCTGCCTTTGCACTACCTGATCCTGAAGAGCAGAATGCTGTTCGCCATCCCTAACCCTGCCCATTGCCTCCGGTAGAATCCTTCTTGCCATCTGGCCCCAGCTCAAAAGCCACCCTGTAGCATCCCCTGAGAAGGTTCTCACCTTCTTCCAGCACCATAGCTGACTGCCCTCCTTCCGTAAGGCCGGTATGGCTCCGGGTAAGGCTGGGCTTGTGGATTCAGCACGCACAGAGGCTCACCTTAGTGCAGAGCTGCCTTCTGGTGTATAAACATGAGTACTGGCTAGTTTCCAGAGCACAGTACAAAGTTCATTATCTATTCTCCAGAGTCTTATTGGGGTATACAGCTTCTTCTAGGACAGCAGTTCTCAGAGGGTGGACTAGAGGCAGAAACCTCATGGGAATGAGTGGGAAATGCGAATTATCAGACTGCACATTAGAACTACTGAACCGCAGTGTTGGTAGGTGGGATCCAGTAACCGGTTTTAACAAACCCTCCAGGTGATTCTGATGCAAGCTACCATTTGAGAGGCACTGCTCTAGAATATATAGAATATATATAGATAGAATAGAGAATAGGATATATAGAATATATAGGACACTGACTGAGCGACTAATACTTTCACTTTTCCCCTTGGTTTTGGAATGGACACAACACACTTGTTGTCAGACAGGTTGAGACTGCATCTAAGGGGAGGCATTTAGGGGAGTGGGCGGGCTTCAGACTACAGCTGGTCTAGGGGTGAACAGAGTGCAGTTTACATACTCAAGGCTGTGTATTGGCTTCGTTCTTTTCTGACCTTGTTTAGACTTCAGTGTCATCCACAGCTTGACCCTTAACTGTCTTCTAGACCTTGAATCAAGTGTGCACTGTAGCTTCTCCGCCCAAGAACATACCCCAGTTAGGAACCATCTTTTCTCTCATCTTCAACTTCTCTGTCTCTTATCTACTCCTTTCTACAAGAAAAATCCTGCCTTGCCCCAAACCACCTTCAAATGACTTTTTCCTCTTGCAAAGTCGAGTGATATAAGAGTTGCCTATAGTTTTAGTCTCTAGTTTCTCACCTCCCACTCCTCAAACTGGCCAAAGGAAACCCGGAAGAAATGCCCCATACAAGTGATTCAAACTACCAGGAGGGTGTGACTTGTTCTCCGAGCCCACCTATGTGTCTACCCACATGTACTCTTTTTTCCCTCCTAATAAACACTTTACTTACTACTTTCCATCTAGATGTGGAATTTCATTGCCACACAGTGACAGGCCAGGCACTTGTCCCTAGCCACTGTTCCTGGTGGTCTAGTGTCTGGGATTCAGCGCTGTCACTGACACAGCCTGACCTCAACCTCTGGCTGGAAACTGAAATCCTTCTTCAAGCTGCTGGAGGCTGAGGCACCCTGAGATCAAAACCATCAAAAGCAGCCTTCTGTGTCCCACTGGTGCAGGGAGGGGACCTGCTGTAGTCAAGACCACCCCCATCATCCATGTTGCTGAGTTTGAAGGATTTTTCTTCATTTTTATCTTTCTTGACCTCCAGAACGTCAAATGCTGAGGGTCTCTACTTCCTTTAATAATCTCTTTCCTTAGTTTCCCTGGCACTACAACAGCCAGTTGTGCCGATTACTTTTATGATTACTCTTATGATTACTCTTCCTTCTCCTTTGCAGGGTTTCATCTGCCTGCCTCTTAAGCACTTTGGGGGACCTCATTCCAGGTACTCTTTCCCTTTTTTGTGTGTGATTAATTGACAGACTTCAATTCAGGTGTGTGTGTTAGTTGCTCAGTCGTGTACGACTCTTTGCAACCCCATGGACTGTAGCCCACCAGGCTCCTCTGTTCACGGGATTCTCCAGGCAAGAATCCCTGATGGCTCAGGCGGTAAAGAATCTGGCTGCAGTGCAGAAGACATGGGTTCAATCCCTGAGTTGGAAAGATCTCCTGGAGAAGGGAATGGCAACCCACTTCAGTATTCTGGCCTGGGAGATCCCATGGACAGAGGAGCCTGGCGAACTACAGTCCATGGGGTCGCAAAAAAGTCAGACACATCCATGGCTGATTCATGTCAATGTATGGCAAAAACCACTACAATATTGTAAAGTAATTAGCCTCCAACTAATAAAAATAAATGGAGAAATAAAAAATAAAATGCAGTAAAAAAAAAAAGTCAGACACAGTTGAGTTCAAACACACTTAGTGAACTCATTCTATTCAAAATACTGGTTATATATATGTTTTTTAAACATTCTCTTTATTAGCTACTCTACAGATATCCATTTCCTCCTCATTCTTGGCACATTTTACTTTGCAGAGAAAAGGCAGTGGTGGAAGTGGACTTTCTAAACTATTAGAGCCTTGCCCCGTCTCACATACTTATCTCTTTCTGTTGAAGGCATCCAGAATATACCACTTCAGGAATTTTGTTTTGAACTCCCCTTATCTACCTAAAAATACAGCCTCACAAAATAATTCAGCTGTTATAAATCCTCTCCCCAATAGTCTAGCAGCCAGGAAAGATGGACTCCTATCACTGAAGAGGGGAATTTGGCTTAGGAATAAGAAAACACCAAAGCAGACATTCTCACAAAACTATCATCTCTATTCTCTGAAAAACCTATTTGTCTTTTCCTAAAAAATCACTTGCATTCCCATAGGTCTCCTTTTCCCCTTCTTCTTCCCCTTTCCCTTCCCTTTGATGGAAGAAATGTTCACATACTGAAGTATGGGGAAGTTATTCTGGCTTATATATAATTTGGCTTGAACTTTATGTTAACTAAAACAGTCTGTCTTATCACTTGTCAACCATACATTGTACACATACTTTAACCATTCAAAGAATGTTGCCCACCATCTTTTATATAAAGGACTAAGTCACAACCCACTGCTGTGACTCA